GGCCCTGCACCCCCCGAGGGCACCAGTGCCCACACAGCCTGTGAGCACCAGCACTGACACCGGGCGCGACAGGGACCTCAAGGACACCCCTGTGCCCCACAGAGCCCACCATGTCCTGGATGCCCCATGGTGCCCCCCACCACCCAACACCCCAAGGTGCCCCCATGACCCCACTGCCAGGATGCCCAATACCCCCCCATCCCCCGTGCCCCCCATGCCCTCACCTCTTTGATGCTGAGCAGTTTGTGCAGCAGGGGTAGCCCGTAGGCTCCTGTTTTCCCGGAGCCCGTCCTGGCCCGTGCCAGCAGGTCCCTGCCCTCCAATGCCAGGGGGATGGCCTGGGCCTGGATGGCCGTGGGAGTTGCCCAGCCCAGCTCTGCCACCGCCTGGGGAGGCACCGGGGTCACCACAGGGACCAGGACAACCCTTGTCCATGGTGGGGGACACAGAACCCCCCCCCAGATACGCCCTCCCCACGGTGGGGTCATCAGTGCCCCCCAAGGCCCACAGACACCCGCTCCTTAAAACGGGGGTCCTCACTGTCCCACTCTGTCCTACAGACATCCCCCTCCAAACCCGGGGTCCCCAGTGCCCCCCCAAGATACTCCCTCCCCATGGTGGGGATCCCCAGGGACTCCAAAACCCTCTCAGCCCCCTCGAGGCCTCCCCTCGCTCCCCGTGGACCCCTCCCGTGGGGCTGAGCCCCCTGACCCTGGCCCGAAGGCCCTCGTTTCCCCCCCCGTACTCCCCGGGCCCCCCACCCTCAGCAGCCGCGGGTCCAGCCCCATGTGCTCGAAGCCCGACGCCGCCGTGTCCGCCGCCATCTTGGCCGCCCCGCCCACAGACACTTCCGGTTGTGTGCACAGAGCGCCGCCGAGGAGGCAGGCGCCGCAGCGCCCCCTGGCGGTGGAGGAACGCTCGGGGCTGGAAGAGCCCCTGAAACCTCGTCCCCCCCTGTCCCAGGGGTCTTTTTTGGGGGGATTCATTCCCCGGGAGGGGGAAAACGCACTGTAGAAAGGTAGCTGGATGGCTGAACCCCCACCCTGGCTTCCTGCAGCACCAGATTCCCTCCCCAGTCCAAAAAAGCACCAGGAAGCCCCATTGAAACAAAAAACCCTTTTATTTTCCCCAATAAAATCTTTATTTTCCCCAAAGTAGGGGGGGGTTCCCCCCTCCCAGATGGCAGGCAGGGCCCCCCCAAACCTGCCCACCATCCCCAGGGTCCCAGCAGGCAGCAAAGGTCCCTCCCCAGGTCTGTGGGAGTCCCCTGGGGCGAGTTGGATCCCCCCTTTGGGGCGTGTTGGGTGATTTGGGGGAGCCTCTCAGGGGTTTGGGGTGGCTACACCAACTTCTTGGCCTCAAAGAAGCTCTTGAGGTGCCTCATCTGCCAGATGCCGGTGAGGATGAGGATGATGGTCTGGGCGATGGACCACCAGAGCACCCTCTGGTTGGTGCTCTCGCTCGTCATGCGGAACCGCTCCTCCCGGTACTGCCCCAAAAATGGGGAAAGGGGGTCAGAGAGGGGGGGAAATGGGGTGATCCCCCCAAACCGACCCTGCAGGACCCCCTGCTCACCCTCTGGTAGTTCTGCTCCTTCTGGATCTGCTCCACCTGGTCCAGGAGCTGCCGTGCCCGGAGCTGCAGCTCTGTCAGCTTGTCCTTGGCCGCGATCTCGGGGTAGTTGTTGGTGTGTTCACCCACCTGGATGTCCAGGTGTACCCGCTGCAGGCACAGGAGGGGTCAGGAGGGGGCTCAGAGGGTGGCACAGGGTGGCAGAGACTCCCCCTAGGGTTGGGGACCCCTCCCCAGTGTTCCCAGTTTGCCCCAGCAGTACCAGTTTGCCCCCAGCGAACAGGGCCATGCGGGTGGAGTTGGAGTGCAGGCAGATCTGGTGCTCCCCCGGCGTGTGGGATGTGAAGGTGAAGCGACCCTCGGAGCCGTACTGGCGGGACAGCACCACCTGGGACAGGGACAGTGTCACACACAGCCCAGGGACCCACAGGGACATTGTGACACCACGGGGACAGCACCACCTGGGGACATGGGGGGCGTGTCACACCCCCAGGACTGGGAAAGGGCCACTGTCACACCCTGGGACACTGGGACAGGGCCACTGTCACCCACTCCAGGGCACCAAGAGAGGGCCACTGCCCTGTCCTGGAGGTGCCCACCTTTCCGTCAGGGTCCTTGACCTCCACGTGCATGCCCAGCCCGGGAGTGGAGGGCAGGAACGACTCGGACTGTTTGTCCCACAGCTGTGTCCGGTAGTTCCCTGGGAACGGGGGGGACACGGGGTCGGGGAGGGTCCAACTCCCATCCCAGTGCCCCCCAGCCCGGCCCCTTCATCCCCCTTCCCAGGGGTTCCTCCTGCCCTTCCCCATCACACCTGAGGGGTTTCTCAGTCCCTCCCATCGTCCTCCCCCCAACCCGGTGGTCTCCAATGTTGCCCCCCCCAGTGCCCGGGGGTCGCTCCCGTGACATCCCTGGTGACCCCTCCCAGATCCCGGTGGTCTCTCCCATCCCCAAAAAGCACCTGGTGGCCCCTCCCGGTCCCCAGTGGTCTCCTTGCCCCCTCCCGTAC